ATTGTCCCAGGGAAAGCGAAAGGAGGCCCCGTGGAGTGCTGCCGAGCGACGTGTCAACGTTGTGATGACAAGAGCAAGATGGAGATGGTTGTCGCAGACTTGTGCTCGCGAAGAAGCTCCTCGGACTTTCCTGTGCACGACGGCTGTCCCGTTTCCACCGCCGAGGCGGCAACTCACTGTTATAAATTATTCAAATTAAAAAGAAATTTCCCGATGCTCAATACAGATCTTCTAAAAGGTTATCATATCAACTAAAACTATTTACATCAAACCAATAGTAATTTTATTAAGAAGAAGGTATAAATATTATTTTTAGAAAAGTGTTTATACACGTTTCAAGCCTAAATATTTTTTATAGTATTCTTGATCTTATGTTTGTTATTTGTTTCCATAGTATTTTTCATCCTCTTCTTTGTCATATTTCCCAACAATCTAAAAACGATATTTCATAAGTTTATATAAATTCATCATAGAAGCCACAAATACTATCAAATTATTAAATCAAGATTTTATTCGTTTGGATCGTTTTGATTGAACGAATTTTACCCATTGGCATGACAAGATGAAGTTCATGTTGATTGCTTTGAAGATCTTCTATGTGCTTAATCCAAATCTTCAACCAATTCCTGATCCAATCGACGATGACATCGATGAAGTCAAGGCTGAACAAAAGAAGAGAATTGAAGATGAAGTCATGTGTAGAGGACACATTCTCAATGCTTTTTCGGATCGACTTTATGATCTTTATACGGTGGAACCATCTGCAAAAGTAATTTGGAATGCTTTGGAATTCAAGTATCATGCCGAGGAGGAAGGTGTAAATAAATTTTTAATTTCTAAATATTTTGATTATAAGTTTATGGATGACAAGCCAATCTTGGCACCCTTCAAAAGTGTTGAAAGGTATACTAATTTGTTAGACTTAATACATTCTGATATATATGAATTAAATGACATATTAACAAGAGGAGGCAATAGATATTTCATTACTTTTATAGATGATATGTCTATGTTCACATATGTTTACTTATTGAAACATAAAAATGATGCTTTTAATACTTTTAAGGCATATAAAGCAGAAGTTAAAAATCAATTAGGCAAGAAAATTAATGTTTTAAGAACTAATAGAGGAGGAGAATACTTTCTTAATGAATTTAACTAATTTTATGAACAACATGGTAAACACCTAGAACGCCAAAGCAAAATGGATTAGCAAAAAGGAAAAATAGAATATATCTAGAGATGATTAATGCTATGTTGTTACATGCTAAATTATCTTATAATTTATGGGGAAAAGCTTTATCGATTATATGTCATATCTTAAAGAGAATTCCCTCTAAAAATAATAAGATCTCTCCATATGAGTTATGGAAAGGAAAACAACCTAATATTGGTTCTTTTAAAGTGTGGGGGTGTCTTGCATATTGTAAGAATAATGATCCTCAAAGGACAAAGTTGGGACCTAGAGGAATCAAATGTGCATTTATAGGTTATGCCTCAAATAGTAAAGCTTATAAACATCTTACTTTAGAGTCCAATATCATAATATAATCTCGAGATATATAATTCTTTGAACACTTAATGACTTCAAATAATAATATTCATCCTCCAACTAGTGAAGAGTCACCACTAGTGGAGACATCTCAAAAGATTGGTGAGCAACCTAATATTTCTTTGATTAGACATCAATCAAGTTCACAAGAGATTGGAGAGCAATCTCATGAATTAAAGAGAAGCACTCGTGTACGGAAAGCAAAAACATTAAGATTGGATGAGATTGATTCTCATAATATTTCTTTTTACCTTATAGAAGGAACTAATGAGAGCGTCTTAAAAATAATTCCTCTTGTTTTACAAGTGGAAGATGATCCTAAAACATTTAAAGAAGCTATGGCCTCTCGTGATGTTGCTTCTTGGAAAGATACCATTAATGATGAGATGGATTTTATTATGTCAAACCACACTTGAATATATCAATTTACCTTTTGCCTCTAAACTAATTAGTTGTAAATGGGTATTTTCTAGGAAGTATCATACAAATGGTACACTCCAAACATTCAAAGCAAGGTTAGTTGCTAAAGGATTTTGACAAAAGGAATGAATAGATTATTTTGACACATATGCTCTTGTGGTTAGGATCACATCTATTAGAATTCTTTTTGCTTTAGCATCAATTTTTTATTTTTATGTTCATCAAATGGATGTCAAAACGATATTTCTAAATCGAGACCTCGATGAGCAGGTATATATGAAACAACCCGAAGGTTTTGTTCCACCAGGAAATGAACATAAAGTGTGTAAACTTATTAAGTCGTTGTATGGTTTAAAGCAGGCTCCAAAATAGTGGCACGAGAAATTTGATGCAACAATTCTTTCTAATGGATTTGTTCATAATATTACAAATAAATGTGTTTATCTCAAAACTTATGATGACTATATGGTGATAGTTTATCTTTATGTTGATGATATACTAATAGTGTGCAACAACATGAAAGGTATTGTAGAAATAAAGAGGTTTCTATCTTCGACATTTGAGATGAAAGATCTTGGGTAAATTGATACCATACTAGGTATCAAGATAAAAAGAAATAGTGAGGGATATGTTTTGAGTCAAACTCATTACATAGAGAAAGTACTGAAGAAATTTAATCACTAAAAAAATTAAAGAAACAAATACCTCATTTGACCCAAGTATCAAATTAGTCAAGAATATTGGAAGAATAGTGGCTCAATTAGAATATTCAAGTGCTATAGAAAGTCTTATGTATGCAACACAGTGCACAAGACCTGATATAGCATTTGCAGTTAGTAAATTGAGTAGATTTACTAGCAATCCAAGTGTAGAGCATTAGAAGGCTATCGAAAGAGTTCTTAGGTACCTTAAACGGACCAAAGATTATGGCATTCAATAATCAAAATTTCCTACTATTTTAGAAGGATATACCGATGCAAGTTGGATATCGAGTTTCGGAGATAATAAATCCACTACTAGTTGGGTGTTCACCTTGGGAGGTGGCGTTGTTTCTTGGAAGAGTAAGAAACAAACATGTATAACTCACTCAACTATGGAATTAGAATTTATTATTCTAGCAGAAGCAGGAAAGGAGGTTGAATGGTTGAGGGACTTTCTATTAGAAATTCCACTAACTTTTAAGAGTGTGAATTCAATTTCTATACTTTGTGATAGTCAGGCCACTTTAGCTCGTGCGTATAGTGAAATATATAATAGAAAGTCAAGACACATAAGTCTTAGGCATGCTTATGTGAGGAAATTAATCAAGAGTGGGACTATTTCACTTACATTTGTGAAAACAAGTGAGAATTTGGCTGATCCGTTCACCAAACCTCTTACAAGAGAAGTTGTAAGATCAATATCAAAATGGATGGGGCTAAAACTCCTTGAATAAAAGATCCACTAATGATAGTAACCCTACTCAATATTATGAAATGAGTAATAAAGAGTTCAAAGTGTAAGAACAAGTCATTGACATATGGAGTAGTTCAGCATTTTAAAATATTTTACGAGTCACATCTAAAGATGTTAAAGTGTCGGTTGTCACCGAATGAGGGTTGAGTTAATTATACTCTTAATGAAGTTCAGTCAAATTAGGACAAGTATCTCAAAGAGTGACAAAGATACTATAAGAACTTCACTTATATGAACTTAGAAGTGGTGCCGCTTCGATTGAGAGTTGAAGTTTCTCTCATAAAAGTTCATGAACTTAGATGAGCCCTATGCCATATCAGGACTAAGCGAGAATTTATGAGGAATACAAGAATATTGTATTTATGTGTGTGGTATCACTGGTGTTGTCATTAGGAATAACAAATTCAAAGCTTTTATGCTATTTGGAATTTCGATTTTACTTTATGATGTTTACACTAAGGTAATATTTAAATCGAAAGGTATATTATTTTATTCATAAATATTATTTAATCACTTGGAGAAAATTTTTAATTTGAACAAGTGAGGGATTGTTATAAATTATTCAAATTAAAAAAAAATATTTTCAAAAGATTTATTTGAAAAGGGGGTTTCTTTTGTAGTTATTTTGGTAGTTATTTTTCAAAAGTTATCTTTTATGAAAATATCTATAAATATATATTTGAGAGTAAATTATAAAAATATTTCTTTCATACTCTTCTTCTTTACTCTTCTAAGTGATTGGATTAGATATTCTCTAATTTCTCTTTGAAGATTATTTATTGTTTACTCAAATACAGATCTTCTAAAGGCTTATCATATCCACTAAAACTATTTGCATCAAACTCATAGCAATCTTATCGAGAAGAGATTACAAATATTATTTTTAAAAAAATATTTATACACGTTTCAATCTTAAATATTTTTTATAATATTTTTAATTTTTTATTTATTATTTATTTTCATAGTATTTTTCATCCTCTTCTTTGTTGTATTTTTCGACACTCACACCGATGGGTGAGAAGGCAATACACATCACATCACGGTGAGCAGCTCGAACAGACTGCGAACTATTTGAATGAGGTATGTCTTCTTCAACTGCTTCTCACTTAAAATCTTCCGGTGGAAAGAAGGAAGTGCCCATGCAATCATTTTTCCATTTCCTGCGTGAAGATGGAGGCGATGCAACTCACAATGAACCAACCCACGAGCTAGTCGTATGCTTGGCGCTCCACATCACCCCGTTGCCTTCCCCACTCGAAACTTGTGCCCACCAGCACTAATAAATCTTATCCATCGCAGCCTTCTATCTGTAAATTATTATACAGGTCTATTTGTACGTAGTTAACGACCCTTAAATGCTTGACCTCCACTAGATCGACCCTTCCTAGTAGCATATGGTCTGAATCAGTCTTGTTGCAGACCAAACCATTAATTAAGGAGCTAATAATGCTTTCTTGGCGATGTGGATGACCTAATCCTCCATCACCAATAATTACAACATCCGAACCGGCAAACTTTTGGCTAAACATTATAGAGATAAAAGAATGAGTTAACACCTCGTTAATGCTAAACGTATATCTCCTCCGTTCCCACGCCACACTCCCCTTCCTTCTGTGTATGTCCTGTCGGACATGGGGACTCCCGTAGCCTCCTCCCAATGCGCCTGTCTCCGGCGGACCTACGGAGAGTAGCTTTGCCGGTGACTAGCGGCCGAGATCCTGGGAAGGATCGTTGCGTCGGGCTGGCGCAGGAGGGGGGGGATCAGAGCTCTGCTGTGGCTTCGCGGTCGTGATCTTGTTTGGCGATGGGAGAGAGAAGGGAGCGGTTCTGGCGTGCCGCGGCTGCTGTGCTGGTGCTCTCGTTTGCCGCGGCGGAGGGGGGACGGCGGCACGCGTACGCGGCGATGATGTACATGGGGACGCCGAGGGACTATGAGTTCTACGTGGCGACTAGGGTGATGATGCGGTCGCTGGCGCGGCTCGGCGTCGACGCCGACCTCGTCGTCATTGCCTCCGCCGACGTCCCGTTCCAATGGGTCCAAACCCTGTATGCTTCTCTCCTCTTCTCTCCCCATCTCTACTTCCTCTCTATCTATATTTCTTTTCTGTTTTTGCTATTTTAATGAAAGAATGAATCACGACCGCAAGATACCGATCCAACGGCTCAGAATAGATGTCCGGGAGAACTCTTTTTCTTTTGCACGAACTGGATATTCTTCGTGCTTCCTTCGTTTGGTGGCAACCCCGACCGAAGTCACGACTTAAACTTCCGACACGCGACATCATCCATTTGGGACTTGAGTCGTAGCGTAAGCCGGAGCACGAAGGTTCTTGACTTGACTTGCCATCCTTTGACCCTCATAAATAGACGCGTTGACTTGTTGTTTGTGATGCTTCACCGCTACTCGTTCTCAAAATTAACCAAATTGGCAGGCCGAACACGAGAAATATGTGCCCTGTGATTTCTTGCACTTCTCTAAACATGTCGATGGTCATCATTAACAGGAAAGAGGAGGACGGGGTGAAGGTGGTCACTGTTGAGAACTTGCAGAACCCATACGAAGGGCAGGGCAACTTCAACCCCAGATTCAAGCTGACGCTGAACAAGCTGTACGCGTGGACCTTGGCGTCCTATGACCGAGTTGTGATGCTCGACTCCGACAACCTCTTCCTCCATCGCACCGACGAGCTCTTCCAGTGCGGCGACTTCTGTGCTGCCTTCATTAACCCTTGCGTCTTCCATACTGGTCTCTTTGTCCTTCGGGTACTATATCTGTGACACCACGAAAGCTTTGCCTGAGAAATCTTACTACCAGATTTTGCAGCAATGCTTGTGAGCATTAGACACACGAGAAAGGAGAAAGAATCATTTGTGATCCCTCGTTTCTTTACATGGTTTGCAGCCTTCAATTGCTGTCTTCAAGGACATGCTTCATGAGCTAGAAATCGGACGTGAGAACCCGGACGGTGCAGACCAGGGGTTCCTGGTGAGCTACTTCCCCGACTTGCTCGATCGGCCAATGTTCCATCCACCCGCCAATGGCACCAAGCTTGAAGGAACCTATCGCCTCCCTTTGGGATACCAGATGGATGCTTCTTACTACTGTGAGTTTGATCAGTAACACTTCCCTTGTGTACCAAGTCTTTGTACCTGAAGCATGCAGATGCTTATCGGCTTAGATGATGGGATCTCTTCCGTGGTTTCTGTTCCAGACTTGAAGTTTCGTTGGAACGTACCATGTGGACCAAATAGCGTCATCACCTTCCCTAGTTGTCCATGGTTAAAACCTTGGTACTGGTGGTCTTGGCCAGTGCTACCACTTGGCCTTCAGTGGCATGAGCAACGACGCACAAATCTTGGGTAAGCAAACCTCAGAGATCTCTCTCTCTCTCTCTCTCTCTCTCTAGATGGATAGATAGATATATAGCAAGACAGATCTATAGATAGATAGATAGATAGATAGATAGATAGATAGATTAATTGATAGATAGATAGGTACTGGAATGCGACACCTTGTTTTGCTCGACGAGCAGATACAGTGCAGAGGCGCCGGCGATTCTGATTCAGGCCGTGATGTATCTGGGGGTCGCGGCGATCACCCGGTTGGCACGGCCTAGGAGAGTGAAGCTGTGCTACAACCGGCGTCCAGAGAAGAGCATCCCCTTCGTGCGCGCCATGCTGAAGATGGCTGCACTCTGGTCCATGTTTGCAGCACACACCATCCCGTTCTTTCTCATCCCGCGAACGGTGCATCCACTTCTCGGCTGGTCCCTCTACCTGCTCGGAGCAGCTGCACTTAGTACGGTTGTGATGTCTGTCTTCCTACTTCCACCTCTTCCGGTCCTCACACTGCTGCTGGGGATTCTGGGTTCCCTGTTTGTGATGGCATTCCCTTGGTATTCCGATGGCATCGTTAGGGCTCTTGCGATGTTTGGATACGCCTTCTGCTGTGCTCCAGTTGTGTGGGCTTCACTGGCCAAAGTTCTGTGCTCCTTGCAGAGTCCACAAGAACGGGAAACCTTCTTCACTAGACTGGGAGAATCCACACCACTGTCGGACTCCAGCAAGCTGTATTAATCTGCAGACATATCTGCACAATCTCATTCATTTGGTTGGTGTTATTATTTACACAATTTGATGGCCAGAAATCACTCTTTCATGTCTATTCACTGAGACAAAATTCATGGGGTATCCAAATATGTTCTTCCTGTTCATCTACCTGCCTGTCTCAGTGCATGGAGCAGCGAGAGACGGATTCTGATTCTGTTTTGGAATTTGATGTTTTATGATGCAAGCTAGAGGTATGGTGAGATCTTTCTCACTTTTCTTCTGGAGAGAATGTGGATTGTCCCAACTTCTGGTCTTTGTTGTCTGCTTCAGCACTCTGACGTTCATACTATCCTCCTGCTTACAAGATACTTTATGATTTCACTTGAGAATGTAGTCCACAAGATGAGAATATGATGTAGATTTAACCTAACGACTCAAGTCTTTTGGATGATTATGATGTCCATTTGTTATGTTGATTCCTTGACAGATAGCTACACTCATAAGAAGGCAGTATGTGAGATGTGAAAACCTCAAGCTTTCAAGACATTTCACATCAGGATCACTGACTACCAATCTTCTTAAAGGTAATCACAACATTAAACATTTCATGTGCCTCTTCTTATATGTTCTCCAACACTCAGTTAAAGAGTTCTCCCCTTGTAATGTAGAACAGTATCACAGTAGCAGAACTGTAAAGAATTGCCATCTCTTTTGAGTTCCAACCCTTGGGAAACCTTTACCTGTGTGTGCATTTGGTGCCTTTAGGTCTTTTGACTCACAAAAACATCATGAATGCAGTTACTTAAAGCATTGCTACTTGTGCTATATTCCTCTTGAAATAAATTGGATCTGTCCAAGTTCGTAGAGTCCTAACCTTTATACTCCCATTTCAAAGACTAATTGTTCTATGGTTCCAAACCTGCTTTGTCCTTCAAAATTAAGAACATTTTTCATTATATGCAGCCTTCTATCCTTTTCACTTCCAGTTATCCGGGCATGTAATTGACATGGAATAGACTTGCAACAACTTGAGGCTGATATCATTTGGTCTTTTCCTACTGCTTCTTCCTCCTCCTACCATGAACATATCAGTGCCCATTGTTGGGGCAGAGTGAGGAGCGTGTCCTGAAATATAAACCATAGAAAGACATTGCAACAATGATATTGTTCAATGATAATTAAACTCTACCTCATAGTCCTTATCTAATGAGCGAGAGCTGGATATACTGTTGAGCCATCGACATCACTCCCATGTCTATTCGATCCAGCCCACAACTGGATGTACTAATTGGCATGTCTTCCTACAATATAGAATGAAAGGTTGACTCACTTTTCACAGTTTACTCGGATCTCAAATGTGGAACCTGCATCGATGCTACTCTGAACTAATATGGAATTAGCTGCTATTTGATCAGCTTATTGCCCAACTTTTCCTGCATCATCCCAGTTTCCAATGGCCGAAGCTTAGAGCTGTCCATTTCACCTGTGACTTCATCTACAAAGGTTTAAGCTGCAGGAACAGGAATGGCTGAAAGAACGTTTGGATTGCTCGCCCATTGAGCATCTCTTAGAACTTCCCGAGTTTAATTTAGCACAATTGATCAAATGTTCGTTGTTCCAGCGGACCTCAATCACGGTTGGGAGTCAGATAAAAAAGCCAAGGAACCTCAAGAAGCCCTTGGTCAAAATCTAAAGACAAATTGCTGTGTTCCAACGCAGTTCCTCACTGAATCCAATGAATCTTCTCATCTTTTTGGCCTCCATAAGCATAACAAAGGACCCAGAATGGTTTGGGATTGTGAGATGAATGGCAGTAACAGTAACAGTGAGCAGCTGTTGGTGCAGTGAAAGGCTGTGAAAGAGCGGAAAGCTCACAACCCCACACACCACCCTACGCTCTCTCTTTGTCCCCTTTTGATCACGCCGACAACAACCAACTCATGAGCACAAGAACTGCCGATCTCGTGATGTATGTTATTATGCGTGGCTCGCTACTTTATTCCTTCCCCACCCTCATCACCTTAACGTCTGCTTCCCACAACTCCTCATATGGCCTTCTTTAATCGCCCCATTGATTGCCACTGAAGCATCTGCACAACACCAAGTTTTAGATCCTTGTGGTGCGGTGATAGCTGAGATGAGGTAGGACTGGTTAGTTCTGATGCTTATATTGTAAGAAACGAAGACATGCCATGACTCACTGACAACAATGAAAGGCCTACCTACCATGTGATGACTGCCTTCAATATATATATGCATACATGTAGAAAGTGTTAATTTCTTCCGTAACAATCTCGTCAACTTAATGCGCAATTAATGAGTGAGTTGCTTGCAATGCTGTCAAAGACTTGTTTACTGCATATTACCACTGGAATTAACATACTGATGCCGAGAAAGATATTAGTATTTTAATCAAGCTTAAATATATATATATATATATATATATATATATATATATATATATATATATATATATATATATTAGACCCATATGCCTAATCACGTCATCAATTAAACGCATACCAGCTAATGAACAGACAAGACGGAAGGTGAATCGGCGTTGGACCGCTCGGTTTAGAAAATTGGGCACACAGCAACGACATAAATCGAATTGAACCGATCGGTTTGGAACAGTTCGAGGTAGATGTTATAATGTGACAATAATATTCCTCTGTTTGAAGAAATTGGAGATCCGGTCCAGTTTTTCTCCGTTCAAAAGCGCATTATTGAATCGAATCGGTCTATTTTGACCCAACCTTGACCGCGGCAGTAAGCTCAGTGGCAGCAGCTACCAGTGATCACTGCGTACGTCGTCTCCACTGGGCGTAGCACATTCTACACGCAGGAAGTCACGATAAGAACGGCCTCAGAACCGTCCATCACGGCGGTCCAACGTACATCGGACGCACCTCCGCGAAGACCATGTGGCGGGCCCACCTCTCCACATCCATCTCCACGCCAGAGTCTTGGCGTCATGCAACTCCAGCTCTGGAAAAGCATCGATGGTTCCAAAGCGAGGGCCACGAGTAAGACGGACATGCCGATGGACTCAAATGACCCAATGGAACAGTAATGGCTGAGAGAGAGAGAGAGAGAGAGACTGATGGAGATGGAAAACGTGGAACTGGCGCATGGAGATGCTGAGGCAAGGGGACGGAGCGAGTGAGCTCGGTGAAGAAGAAGCTAAAGAAGGAGAGGTTAAGTCAGAGGGGTGAAGAAAAGGACCAAGTGCCAATGGAAACAGGAAGGTTTATTACCAGGTGGGAGGCAGCAGAGACATTACAAAAGCAGTGGCAGCTCTTCTCTGCTTCTCCAAACTTTACTCTCTCTCTCTCTCTCTCTCTCTCTCTCTCTCTCTATCCTTCCCTACCAAACTGGGATTGAAGAGTGATGTTACCCACTAGCTAATCCACCAAAGGATTTCTACAAGATGGGATATACAATAAAGAACAGAGATATTAGGATGGAGAAGGTGGAGGCAGCGAACAGTAAGCAAGAACAGCTGGAAACAGCAGCAATTGGCAGACAAAAAGCAGCAACTAGAGAAGGGATAAATAAACTTAAAGCAAGCGATTTCTTGGTGACATTGATTCAATCTACTGCTCATCAGCTGTTAGTACTATAGGCACCAACTGCAACTTAAATACGAAAAAAATCAGGTAAATTAATGCATCTGAAGCAAAAAGGAACAGAAGCTTACAAGAAAAGGAATCACCAAATCACCAACTTTATCCAAAATATCAGTGCTGAATAAAGATTTGAAGCTTCATAGTTTCCTCAAATTCCTTTGATTTGCTTCTCCGTCTCTGCAATTCCTGCCTCGAGCTTGGACACTGACTCCTGCTTGCTCTGGAGTTAGTAGGAGTGCTCAGATTGCATGGTTTCGACGTGTGGAATGCGTGAATTCAGTTCGTTGTGGGATTGGCAACGAAATCCATGCCGGAAATCGCCGACAGTTCGACGTCGTCGTCCGTCGGCGCCGGCATGTTAAGATCGATCAGGCCGATGCTACCGGCACTCTTGGTGGCAGCAGTTACAGGGGACATGCTCGGCGGAGGGACTGACGTCGGCGAGTTGTCGGTGACTGTGGGCGGGGACGTGATGAAATGCGACCTCTTGTGGCCGCCAAGAGCTTGGCCGGAGCTGAAGACTCTGAAGCAGAAGGGACACTCGTGGACTTTGACATCGAGATTGGTGTCGGCCGAGTCGGCTTCGCAGGTCCGGAGCTCGACGGCCGGGACGCAGCCATTGGTCTTCTTGTGGTTCGCCCGGTGGCCACCGAGAGCTTGGTACGACCGGAACACCTTCTTGCACGCCCCGCACTGGTAGCGGCTCCGCCCTCTTCGCGGCGGCGGCCGCGGTCGGGGGTCCACCTCCTCCTCGACGCCATCGGCCCAGGAGTCGCGGGACAGCATCATGAGGCAAAGGGCGACGTCCTCCTCGGGGGTCGCATCCGAGACAGAGCTCGCCGGCTCCGGATCCAGCGGAGAGGCGGCGTCCCGGCGGAGACGCTTCGCTCGCCGGCGGTGGCCACGGGGTGACTCCGTCTCGCTCTCCAGGTCCTGGACGACGACGCCGGATCCGGCGGGCTCAACGGCGGCGAAGGAGGAAGAGGAGGAGAACTCGGGATCTACCAGTCGAAAGCTCTTCCGGGGGTTCATGCGCAGGCCGTACGAGACTCCCACCTGCTTCTCCTCCTCCTCCACCTCGTCCACTACCTCTTGCGTCGCTGCAGGCCGGTCTGAGGAGACGGATGCGGAGGAGTCCCGGTGGAGCTGGGGCAGAGCCGGAGGGCCTGCAGCGAAGATGACGTGAGAGCGCATGTGGCCAGCGAGTGCGCGGCCATTGGAGAAGCGGCGGACGCAGAGCTTGCAGGCGTGCTTGTCCATACGAACTATCCCTTTAGCTCCACTCTATCCTTCTCCCACAGAAAGCAGAGGAAGGAAACTGTGTTGAGGTGAGTAGGAGCTACAAAAGTGTAGGTGACAAGCATTCCTCACCCAAAAGCAGGCACAACCCACTGCAAGAAGAAGAGACACAAAATATTATTTATATATATATATATATATATATATAT